TTTCCTTTTCAAGTTTCTTTGGTCAATGTTTTATTTTAACAACAGGGAAAGTAAATGAAACCGAAAATTGGTGCCCATTCTGATGGATATGACCATGTGGTGTTTTATTCTTTAAAGTATGTTTTATATTTGAAAAAATAGAGAATTTGGATCTTTAGGCCATGGTTAATGAGATGTTAAGGGAGTTTGGATGGTAAGAATGCTAACGGTGGATGTCCTGTTTGCAAAGTTTCAGAGGGATGCTTGAGAGTCCCCCACAAACACTGTTTGGAATATTCATGTGATATTTTGAGTAAAGAATCTGTAGTTTCTGGTCAATTAGGGCTGAACAATCAGCTTTGATTGACAAGAGACCAAGACCAACACCTCTGGAGTGAAACTTTTGCTTTACTGAGATAGTTTATGCTAGTGAGATGGATCTGAAGAATTATCTGTGATTAATAAGAGACAAGTATCATTAATATGAAAGCAAAGAAGTATTTAATCAGCGTTTAAATTAAATTTTGGTCCAGAGGGGACCAAAACTGCATTTTAAGATGGCAACCAAATTTGGTCAATAATATGTAAATGTCTTTCAAGAAAAGCATAATGACTGAAGAGGTCATATAGAGATAATTTGAGGCAAGATAATACCAGAGGCTATTAGTAAAGGTAAAGCCTCAGTTGTAGTGCAGACCCCAGAATGATACAGATGTCTTGACTATTGTGGATGACCACCAAGACTTTAGCAGTTATGGAGTGAAGATTGCCTAAGCATGGGACAAGTTATGTGTGCCTTGGCTTGAAGATCCAGGTAAATTGAATTGTCCAAGCCCTTTGGAACCCAGAAGATCATGAGTGAGCTCCAGAGACTGGAGGCTGAGTGATATCTGATTTGCACTGGAGAATGTTGGGTTTTCTTTGATCTGACTGTAACTGTGCCTTTATTTTTGAAATATGTATATATCTTGCCTTTGAAACAGAAAGTGAGTTTGGGTATTTTAAAGAGATCGAACTTTCAAAGTGTTCAAATATTTTGGAGACTGTAAGACTTCTAAAGTTATGTCATGCTTTATATCATGACATTAACAAGAGATCTTAGAAATAATAAGAAAGGAAAGGTTGTTTTTAATAATGATGTCTGTGTGTCAAGTTGATAAAGGATAAATTCTATGATTAATTTTGTCATCTTGATACAAACGAGAGTCACCTGGGACGAGGGAATCCCAATTAAGTATTTTCTTCCTTCAGATTATACTGTGGAAATATCTCTGGAGGTGTTTCTTGATTATTGATTGATCTGGAACATCCTAGCTCATTGTGGACAATTCCACTACTGGACAGTAACATGGCCCTGGCTTATATGAGAGAGAAATTTGAGAAAGCCACAAGAAGCAAACCAACATTCCTCCCTGGTTCGGCTAAATTTTTAAAATTTTATGTCTTGGCTACAGCCTCTCCTTACTCTACTTCTCACATTCTCTCTTCCTTTCTCCCCTCCATCCCCCCAATGCACCCCTCCTCTGTATTTACCCAGAAAGGGACACATTTACCCTGGGCATCAGCAAATCATGGCCTATTAAGCTGCCATAAGACCAAGTGCCTCCCCGTGTTTCTTATGTATATGTGCTTTTAAGAATGACCATTTGTATAGGCTAGTTTTATTTTGAGATGGTGTTGGGGATTGAACTAGGGAACTCATAATTACACAATAAGCACTTTACTGACCAAGCTTATGCCTCCAGTCTTTCAAGATCTCCTATGTGCGACCATGTCATTTGGTGTAAGGGAACATCAAGTTACTGAACTTGTGTCTTTTTGTGTAGAACAAAATAATAACATGGGCCAACATTGCAAAGCACATGGGTTGTGGTCAGGTCAAACTAGAGTAAGACAAAGGCAATGGCTACAAGTAGACGAGTAACAGGGCTAAAGAGCAAGGATCTGAAATCCTCTGCATCAAATGTAGTTTGTGTCTATCTACTTTCATTGTCTTTTCAGAACAAAAGTGTAGACTATTACACTGGATGCAGAATAGAAAGCCAGGTAAGCAAAGGTTCAGGACCCAGGGCAATTGGAGGATGGAACAGACTGATTTTACTTTTCTATACTGGCCAACACAGACCCAACAAAACGCTCTAGGCAGGGACGCTTTAACAACAAAACAGAGGTATTATGAGCGAGGTCAAGGGCTCTGAGATATGGGGTGGGTAATGAATAATTTCAGCAACCCCCCTAAAATAACAGTAAACTCATTAGACTGTAGCAGAGGCTGGAACCTGATGGTCACTGTCAATCACCTTGTTTACAGAAGTTAGAATAGCCCCCAGGTGTCCAGAAGTCTGCAATAATAGCTTCATAGTCCATGTACTCTATTATGTCTTCTGTGCATTGCCCTGTTCTCCTTTAACATGCTTGCAACCTGAATCAGTCAGGACTTGGATGTAAAGTGAAACCATTCACTGTTGGATAACCCGCTGACCCACCCATTAGACTCTGAGGAATAGCTGGGTTTGCCCCGTCACCTCTTTCCTCCTCTGAAACCAAGGCCCTGCACCAAGGGGCACAGTATCAAGTTCATACCTTTTCTAAAAACTTAGCCTGCCACACGAGTATTCCATCTGTGAACCTGGGAACCTTGGCCTTTGTAGCCTAGCAGTAGCTGGTGCTCTTACATTGAAGGGGCCTCAGCCATAATATCCTTAATTCCTCTAGGGATGGGAAGTTATTCTCACATTATAAGGGGGATTTAGAGTCTCTATGACTAATAAGCCTCTCTACTTGATTCATCAACTAGACAGTGTCAGTAGATGAGCCAACTAGCTGGCGAAGTTCAGAATGATCACATGAGTATCTTCCACATGTCCTCAGCCTAGTGTATGAAAGAAAGAGCTAGTCTTTGGTCACCTCTGATCTCTACAGACATGCACGACTGCACCTGACTCCCAGTTCCTCCCCACATCCCCTCTCATCTGAATCCACTCCTTTTTTCTCTCTCTTTAGGAAAGAACAGGCTTCTAGGCAATAACAACAAAATATAACAAAAGAAACTATAGTAAGATAAAATAAAGCCTGTCACACTGAAATAAGAGAAGACAAACCGAGAGAATGAAAAGAGCCCAAGAGAAGTCACAGGAATGAGAGACTCATTCTTTCATTCACTCGGTAGTCCCATGAATACACTAAACTGAAGACCATAATACATACTCAGAAGACCCATTCAGTCCTGAACATGCACACTTCCCATGACTGATAAAGAAAGACATTCAACATGAACGCATTAAGGCTTTTTGTCAGCCCCTCCTGTGCTCTCCCAGGCCCCGCCTCTCCCTGTCTGTGGAGTCTCTCCGCAGAGCCTCTCTCTGGTTGAGGTTTTTATGGGCCTCTTGTAGACTCCTCTGCCACTGTGCCCTCTCTCATAGCACAGAAATACACTGCTGAGTCCTCGATCCATGTGGCTGTGATGATGAGTCCAATGGAACTTTCTGAATTCTGGAAGTTCAGAGAATAACGACCCTCTGTTGCATTTCCTTTGTAAGACTCTTGCAGAATAAGGAAAACCATTTCCCCATTTGTTGTTTGCTTGTACCAGAACAAGTAGTAAGTACTTTCCCGGGTTTCATACACACAATCCAATGTCACAGTCTTCTTTTCCATCACAGAAATTGAAGTCTGAACCTGAGTTACCTTCTGGGCCATGCTGGTTGCTGATGGAGAAAGCACAGAGACACCAGCCTTAACTGTAGCAATGGGAGTTTAAAGGATGAAGCAGCTTATGATCCAGAATTCTGGTGATCCCTCCCTTCTGAGCCTCAGCAGAGGACAATATCCTCTCTCCCTATGACCTTGAGGGATAAGAGCTTGATCCTGTGCTGGGTAACATTCTTACCTAAAGAAATGAAGCTGACGGTTGCTCCCAGCAGGCTAAGACTCAGCATATTGTTAGCTCTTGTCTTGACTGAAACTTTCTGTGTTCTGTCTTAACCCAGATCTTAATCTGTACCTTGTGCTCAAGAGGAACAAGTGCAGATGCAGATACTAGTCTACAAGTTGACACCACCTCAACAGGAAATGCAGTTGGCAGATATGGGGCAGGTTTGATTGTGTCCTGTCGCATCTTCCTGTATGGGTGTGGGAGAATGCCAGACTGTCTTGAGGAACTGTTGGTTTTATTATAATGTGCTGGAAGCCATCTGAAGTAACATGGGCTTACAGATCATTCTCTTCTGATGGAGAATATGGTACATTCGATTTATTATGAAGTTTAGTAATACATGGATGACACAGCCATGCTCCTTTTGGTCTTATCAATGCATCCTTTCTCCTAGAGAAAAGAGATGGTTGAACTATACTTCAGTCTTTCTACATTTCTAGTAGAGATTTGAAAAATTTATATAAGAAATATGTTTTTCTTAATGAAAACTTTGACATCATATCCTCTAAGAAACAAAATCTGTCATATGTTTGCCATGTCAAATTACACATGAAAGAAAACTCAGACACACAGACACAGACACACAATCTGTTTGTCTTTCTATCTACGTGTGTGTTTGTGTTTCATGCAAGAATGAACAAAAGTAAATTCACAAAATTTTATTGAATGACAAGGTGGCATGACTTTCTCACATTCAAAACTCCTAAAACCTCCACCTATCACAAAATCATACACTGGCCATTTTTCCTTCTCTATGCTGGCGTTCTTTTCTCCATGCTGGCATCCTTTTCTGCAGACAGGTGTATTAAAGACTGTTTCATTCCAGTAGAGTGGAAGTAGTATATTTCCTCTATTCTCCTCTAAGATGTGCAACCTCACTAGTCCCCGGGTAGTTGGCTAAGTTTCTAGTATCAGGCACAATTCCCTTACTGTTGCTCAGGTCTTAAGTACCTTTAAAGAGCTGTTGGTTACCATCAAGGTTTGAATACTGCAGTCGCAAGATAGGGCTGTCTTACCATGCTGCTTATTCCTGTGTTCACAGGTGTGCAGCTGGATGGAACTACTGGTAGCTTTCCTCTATTAGCAGCTTACATAATATCTTTTGGTACCATGAATGGTAGACATCTTTGGAATCCTGTGTCCAAAGTGAAGATCACCTATATGGACTTACCTTCCATCTCTGAGAGGTAACTAAGAGCAACAGCAATAGTCTATATTATTTTGAAAGTCACAGTATTGGGGTTTTTGTTAGTCTATGGCTCTTATGGAGAGTATTATCAGCCCAACTGGCATAATTTCATTATATATATTTTCAATATATGGACTATTTATAAAATATGAATATTGAAATTATGCCATTTGGGTTAACACTGTATATTCAATATATATTACATATTTAATATGTATTATATCACTACTCATCCAAAAAGCTTCTTTTTGCAGTAATGGAGGCTCTTACAGAAAAACATAACTGACACCAAATCATTTAGAGTTTTAAAAATAAAATCCTGAGGTAGGTTGATTCCACATATTCTGAGAAACTGCCGTACTGATTTCCAAAGTGGTTGTAAAAGTTTGTATTCCCACCAGCAATGGATGAGTGTTTCCCTTACTCCACATCCTCTCCAGCATAAGCTATCATTATTATTTTTGATCTTAGCCATTCTGACAGATGTAAGATGGTATCTCATAGTTGTTTTGATTTGCATTTCCCTAATGGCTAAGGATGTTGAACATTTCCTTAAGTATCTTTTAGCCATTTGAACTTCTTCTGTTGAGAATTCTCTGTTCAGTTCAGTACCCCATTATTTAATTGGGATTCTTAGAATTTTAATGTCTAATTTCTTGAGTTCTTTATATATTTTGGAGATCAGTCCTTTGTCTGATGTGGGGCTAGTGAAGATCTTTTCCCATTCATTAGGCTGCCTTGTTGTATTATTGACTGTGTACCTTGCTTTGCAGAAGCCTTTCATTTCGGGAGGTTCCATTTATTTATTGTTGCCCTCAGTATCTGTCCTACTTGGATTATTAGGAAGTAGTCTCCTGTGCCCGTGCATTGAAGACTACTTCCCGCATTCTCTTCTATCAGGTTCAGTGTGGTGAGATTTATATTGAGGAATTATTTGTAATAGCCAGAACCTGGAAACAACCTTGATGCCCCTCAACGGAAGAATTGATAAAGAAAGTGTTGCACATTTACCCATTAGAGTACTACTTGGTGGAAAGAAATAATGAATTTTGTGTTCAAATGGATGGAATTAGAAAACACTTTTCCTTAGTGAGGTAACCCAAAAAATGAATATGGTATGTATTCACTCATAAGTGGATACTAGCTATAAACAAAGAACATTGAGCCTATAGTTTATGAGCCTAGAGAAGCTAAGTAATAAGGTGAACCCAGAGAAAAACATATATAGATCCACCTGGAAATTGGAAACAGACAAGACCGCCTGACAAAATTGGGAGCATGAGGGTGGGGGAGAAGGGAGGATGGAAGGGGAAGATGAGGGGAAAAGGGAAGGGTTGAGGAGAACTTGAGGTAATGGGATAGTCGAGATGGAGGAAGGTCAGAGATCAGAGCAAGAAAAGAGATATCTTGATTGAGGGAGCCATTATAGGGTTAGAAGAACCTGGCTCTAGACAAATTCCCAGTAATCCACAAGGCTGACTCCAGCTAAAACCCTAAGCAATAGAGAAGAGGGGGTCCAATCTTGATTTTCCCTGTAGTCTAACTGATAAATATCTTAAATATCACCATAGAACCTTCATCCAGCAACTAATGGAAACAGAGGCAAAGACCCACATCAAAGCACTGGACTGAGCTGCCAAAGTTCAGTGAAGAGTGGGAGGAATGAGAATATGAGCAAAGAGGTCAAGACCATGAAGAGTTCACCCACTGAAACAGTCTGCCTGAGCTAATGAGAGGTCACCAACTCCAGATGGACTGGGAAGGAACAAGCACAGGACCAAACTAGTCCCTCTGAATGTGGTTGACAGTTGCATGGCGGGGCAGACTGAGGGGCCACTGGCAGTAGTACCAGGATTTATCCCTACTGCATGTACTGGCTTTCTGGGAACCCATTCTCTTTGGATGTATACCTTGCTCAGCCTAGATATAATAGGGAAGGCCTTGGACCTTCCACAAAGCAATGTGCCTTACCCTCTCTGAGAATTGGAGTGGGGTGTGTGGGAGGGTGTATGGAGGGAACAGGAGAAGGGGAGGGAATGTGAACTTGGATTGGTATTTTTAAAAAATCTAATAAATTTAAAAAAGAGAAGAAATATATAAATATAAAATAAAATGTCTCCTATATTAAACAAGACAAACAGTTTTCTCCAAGATCATGCCATTCTATAGAGATTGATGACTGGGGCCATATGTTCAGAAACAATGGATGAATTTTTATTTATCACCAGCATAAAGGGATATCTCCCCCTTGTGGTTTCTTTCTGTACTGCAGCATGATCTTCTCTGACTATGGTAATTTATCCTGAATCTTAAATTGTGACAGTAGAGAACGATAGCACTATAGTCTGGGTGGGGTGGGGAGGATTCAAGAAGGACACACCAAAAACTTTCTGCAGAGTCTTCTGTATCTAAGGACACAAGAGAGTATATTACTTTGTCATCTTTTTGACGTGCGGGGAAAAGTGTTCCTTATGTTTCCCCAGTCCACGAACGTAACATCTATCCTATCTCTCTTATGATAGTTTAAGCATCTTACAGCTTACTGTGAGCATGACAAAGCATGTTCTGAGATATCTTAATATATGGACACTGTTGTTTTCTTGGAGCCAGGGACGTACCCTTGTGATGAGAGTTCTCACTCATCACTTTAGAGGGAGTTCATGCCCACATCTTCTCCCACCACACCTGTACACATATCGGTTCCTGTCCTGGCTCCAAGAAAACATTATATCCTTCTGGGGTCCTCAACAGAGTTGAAGACTAGATAGTTAAAATTATAGTTTTCCTTAGTTATAATAAGAGATAAAGTAGATATAAATATTGTAACTGCAATTCTTGCTTGATACCTGTTTTGTTATATGTAATTTTACTATGTTAAAGTTAAAACCTTTCTTTTTATTTATACAAGAAACGAGAGATGATGTGGGAATTCCATCTGTATGCTGAGAATATGTTTTATTACCATTGGTTAATAAAGAAGCTACTTTGAGCTATGTCAGGGCAGAATAGAGCTAGACAGAAAAACTAAACTGATTGCAGAGAGAAAGAAGGCAGAGTCAGGGAGATGCCATGTAGCTGCCAAAGGAGAAAAATGCCAGAACCTTATGGCTGGGCCACAGCCTCGTGGTGATACACAGATTAATAACGATGTAAGAGCTAGCTAGAAATATACCTAAGCTATTAGCCAAACATTATTGTAATTAATCAAGTTTCTGTGTGATTATTTAGGCCTGTGTGGCCAGGAAACAAACACAGTTTCCCTCTACAACAAGCTTTTCTGAGTTTAGTGTTTTGTGATTTTTAAATTAATTCAAGAGTTCTTTAATAACAGTATTATTATTTGGCAAATCCACAAAATATCATCTCAGGAAAGTATGCATTGTGCTTTTGCGGTTATTGTATGTCTATTGAATTTCAAGTTTACACATATAAATAATGAGAATTGTCTTTCTACAGTAGTGACATTGTGAGTAGTGCAGACTCCTCAGAATTTGTCCTTCTGTAGCCTGTAACCACAGTCATATGCGTGCTGTTCTGAGAACGTGATGTTTTGTGGGATGTCATTGTCTCACATGTCCTTAGTTTGCTAAAAACTGTACAATAAGAGCCCCCAATCAACGAGGATGTTCTGTCCTACGCTGATTATCTAGGGGATAAGGAATATGAATTCATGCAAAAAATGAACGATTTAATTAATTATATCAGATTTAAAAGGTTCTTCAGAGAAATCAAACAGCCCAGAGAGTGAAGGGACAACCTATGGAGTAGGAAAAATTATTTTACCACTATTCATCTGTCATAGGGTGCATCTGAAAACGGCAACAAATGAAGTTATGCAATTAATAGTGGAAAAAGATTGGAGCAGAACAGAGAAGATACACAAGCACCAAGGAGCAGATGAGGAATACTGTGTCATAAGCTGCTGGTGGAATGCAAAAGAAAACTGTCCTTAGATACTCACCATGTCCAAGG